CTCCCCATTTTATGATAACTCTGCAAGGTAGGTTAAGCTGAGTGATGATGACTGGTCCCAGGTCAGCCAGTGAGCATGTCTTGAGGCACCTCTGGCATCGCAAAACAAGAGATGGAATAAGTGACGGGATGCCCAGCCAACCCACCTAACGTCTTCAGCCACTCTCCTTTCTTGACAATGCATCCAATACCTCCAGGGTAAACATTCTCCATAAATTCCCAGAGCAAAGGGCTGAAGGGTGGAGTGGCAGCCCGGAGCTGGTCTACGTTGGAGATGAAGATACAGATGGGTTTCTCTTGAGGCCTGTCCTGTGAGGACGAGAGGCAACAGGTAATCCTGGGAATGGATAGGCAAGGTGAAATAAGCACCACTGAAAGGGCTCTACTCTGCTGCTCTGGTCCAGCCCAAACATCCTGGCTACTCCTGTGTCATCTGAGGTCTTGTTTTGGAGATGACTGAGCTGCCAGCACTGAATACTCAACCCACCAGGAATGTATTTATTTCATGTACCCTCTCCCACTCATGGTGCTCTGGACTTGGCACTCGGGGGATAAACTAAAGAGAGGATCTTTGTTAACTACCTGTGTTTAGGATTCCTGACTAGGAAACCTCTACCTTATTTTCCCCGTAGCCAGGAATGTCTTTAATAGAGGATAGTCAAGGGTAAATAAACATGGGGCTGAACTGCAGTGGCCGGATCTGGGTGGTTTTCAGTTTCTCCAAAGTCTGGAGAAGATCTCAACTGGATCAGCTATTTATAAGGGGAGGGGCTCAGATGTCTACAAAGTACTTTTGGATCCTATTCTGTTTTCCAGATTATTTCCATTTATCACAAATGTCTCCTTAATTGCTGAGGTTCTGCTCTGAAAGGTGTTTGGTATATGCAGAAGACGCCATAGAACTGGAAGCTGATGGACTTCTGTTGCACTTGGCAGAGCTTCAGGGATAACGGAAGGGAGACCAGCCCTCTGGTTTCCCAGTATATATTTGGAAACTCCATAGCAACTAATACAAAAACACAGAACTGCTGTTAAAATCCTGATCTTTCCATACCTGCACTTTAAAAATAAGTTTCTAGTCCACAGGGATGTTTGATAATGTTATGGGAACAAATACGGGTACAGTTGTGGAAATGGGGATCCAAATTCATTCAGGTTTCCTACTTCATATAATGTTAACATATGCATATATAATAAATAAAATAAATGTGTAGCTGGACACACAGTGTCCTGTGGCTTGCTGTTGTTGTGTTCATCGTGCATACCTTGATTTTGTAGATCTTCTCAATGGCTTCTGGGTGTTTGCATGAGGCAGCTAGAGCATAAACCGTGTCAGTGGGAACTCCACACACCCCTCCTGCATTCAACTTTTCAGCAATGGTCCTCAGGCCACTGGTCCGATGGGAACTGGGGCTGATGCAAGGAGGAGAGGAAGGTGCTTCCTTTACAGCTGTCTCTGCCTGAAAATGATTGAGCAAACAGGATTTATAGAACTAAAGGAGCACCCCAAGGAGCCATGACTCATGCCTACTAGGCAGGAAAACAGTAGCAGGCAGGGCCTGGACAGGGTCAATTTGGTCACTCTTGCAAGTTTCAAAATAGAAATCATCCCAGCTGATCTAACTGAAATGCAGAGTTCTAGGGGGACATCTCTTACCCTGAGGAGGGAGGGTCCCATCAGGATGAGCTCTCTGCCAAATATGCCATTTGCAAGAGATGCTGTCGCTCCATAGATGCAGAGAATGCTGAAGATGATCAACATAACAACTGTAGAAAAAAGGACACATGTCAGTGTCTTGTCTCATGGGCCTCTTGGCATTTCTTGTTGCTAGCAAGCATCAGGACTTACTCTCAAGAGGCACCGGAAGGCTTTCCAGTGTGAAGAGAAGGAAGCAAACAATCAGCACCTCCATCACAGCTGTCAAACATAGGAGCACCAGGTTCGAGTAGGAGGCTGTGGGCAAAAGAGGAAGAGATATACTTAGTGTTACTGTGGGAGGGCCATAGGCAGGTATGAACTGATGAGTGAATGAGGTTCTCCCTCATTCCCTAGAATGCTCAGTGTGTTGGCAGGCTTTGATTTTCACAAGAACTGAACATGTGAGTAGGGGAGCTAACAAGGGGAGCTGTGCAAGACAACTCTATGTGTCTTGGCTGCTGGCTAGAGAACTGGCCTTGAAGCTTTCCCTTTGAGCATGTGCAAGAGCCACAGCAACTGGCTTTCACCCAATGAGCCACAACTCTGCTGGCAGGAGATCAACAATCCCATATTGTACTTTGGCTTACCTAAAATCATCAGAAACACATTGACAACCAAAAAGGCTACAGCTCCTGCTGTGAATCCCCCATCATTCCTTGGGTCAATGTTCAGTAAATTGCCTACAAAAAACCCAGCAAAAGAGCTTGTTGGAGCAAAGCAGACCAAGGACAAGGTCAAAGGAAGTGGACAATGTATTGTGTTGTGCTGCCTTTTAGCAGGGAACTCAGAACAGCTTGTGCAGAGTGGATTTCCTTTGGAGGAGGAAGGACTGGGTACAAGTGGTGGCTTTAAAATATTTGGTTTCCAAATTGGTTGGATGGGGTATTATGAAAGTACAGAAGCAAGCAGACTGGAAGGCTGTGCTAGTCCCAAAGCATAATCAGATCTGCAAGACCACTTCTCAAATGAGAAGCATCCTAGCAGTTCTGCAAGCCACATCCAGACTCTGAAGAAGACTTTCAGGTCTCATAATGGCTGCACACACTCCCCCCCCCCTGCCATCAGAGCAGGTTCCAGTTTGCTTTTCAGCCCTCCTCCCATGCAGACATGTGTGACTCATATTCCACAAGTTAAAGGTTTCCATACCTCAGTGGTAAAGCCACAAGCAACCTGTAGCAATAGGACAGAATGCCTGCACTAAATCATCACCCAGGAACATGCCCTATTAGTATCTAATACAAGGACTCTATAACATGATTTTGCCTATAGGGCCTCCTGCACTGGACTTTCTTTGGTCATCTGTTGCACCCATCCAGAGGGACAGTTGGGGAACCAACACAGCTTGCGTGTTTGGCACTGTCCCAGGTAGGTGGTTGACAAGGGATCATCCCACACAGCATATTTTCATTGTGGCCAGCACAGTCAAGAAGAATACAAAGTCAATAGGAAAGAGGGTTATTACCTGCAAACAGGAGCCAGGTCCAGGTTGCCCAAACAGCTGCATAGCAGAATGGCAAGACTGACCCAAATCTTCTCCCCCTCTGCACTTGCATTCTGCACACGTAAAGCTGGAATATGGCTCCTGGGATCAACACTGTGGGAATGCTGAGGTGCTGCCTGATGGGGTCTTTCAGAGACCCTTGGAGGGCAGAGAAGGCAGCCAGGCCATTGCAGATGAAAAACAAGGCATTAGGAGCATCCGAGGGGGTCAGGTTGGGGGATTTGTTCGACTTTGATAGGCAGCTTTTGATGCTCATCAATGCTTTCTGGAGCTTTGAACTGGACATAACTTGAACCCCTATGGGAATCAAAGCCTTCTCAGCAACTGAGTTTACCAGGCTGGCAAAAGTGGTGTAGAGAGAGGTGGCTGTGTAGATACTGCAGGCAACCCCCCAAAATATATAGGCCCCTCTGATTGGAATCTGCTGAATGGTGGAAACTGTCAGAAGGACAAAGAGAGAATTGTGCACCACCTCGAGAACATCCCTGTTGAAGGACATCAAGAGGATGACACAGGCAGTGGCCAAGAAGAACCAGCCACCGACCATCCCTGCCCGGCTCAGCTGCACATTCTTAGATTGGATGAAAACCGTCAGTGTGAACTCTTCCCAGGACATTACCAGCCAGAAAAGGCTGTGGACACCTGACTTGGTGGTATAATAGACATCACCTCGCAAGTAGCCATAATAACTGGACAAAACATGGCCGATAGAGTTGATGCTCACCCACACAGTTCCTACATAGAAGTTACACATGTAACCAAAACAGTAGAAAGAAAAGATAAAGGAACTAATGAAGTCACACAGATTGCCCAGGGCCATGGGCTCAGCATACTTGGTGTTCTTCTTCTCTTCCCTGACATTCTTGGAAGAACTGCGGCTGGCTGACCCAAGCAAAAGGACATTGAAGAGAGGGTTCCCAAAGCCTGGCAGAATATATCGTTGAGTGATGCCCTTGAAAAGGAGTGCTATTGCACCATACAACCCACAGATGACAATGGCCAATTCCAAGACTCCTGAGACCACCAGAGCCCACTGGGCAAAGAGTCCGACTGCTTCAAACACCAAAGTCAAAGTGATGGCTCCAAAGACGAAGGGCATTATGTAGTTCACAGTTGCAGAACAGAAGGACAGGATGAAAGAAATGAAAATATAGGCCACCAAGCCTGCTACAGCACCATCCCTGGTGGAGAAACAGGCAGGGTCGAGTGAGGGGAGGGCAGAGACATTGCTGGGACTGAGGGATACATTCCCTGGCAAGAAATATGCCTCGGAAACAATGCGCGTGGCCCCGTAACTGCCCCATAGGCCAGCAAAAGCCAGGAAAGCTGTGCCACCCAAGTGGTCATACTTCCGGAAGGTCAACAAGCCAGCTAAGAGTTGAGACAGGCCTCCAATCAGGATGAGGTGAACTCCTAGGGGACCAAACAGAGTTAACCAGCAATGAGAATGGTTGTTAAAAGAGCTGAGCAACTCAAGGTTAAGACACTTTTGTTTCTGTGCAAATTCTGTGTTATAACTGGGGCATGCAAGGCGCTTCCTCTGGACTTTTAATCAAGCATTTAACATAGATGTTGTGAGAGCTGAAAATGTATATTCTAGAAAATAAAGAGAAGATCCTTGTCTCAAAAAGACTTGAACTTTCTAAACAATTTCCCCAGTGTCCAAAGCTAGTGAGATCATCCCTCTATTTCCTGGTCCGCCCTTATTTATGTCAATGACAAGGGAGCCATTTTGCACAAGAGAGGTTGGGGTAGCGCCAGGTGAAGGACCCCTGCATCTGAATACAGCACCCACAGCAGAATGATGCTAGTGTTCATTGCTCTGCAGATGCACGGCTTAATTGGTAGAGGTGAAGGGTGAGGCTGGCTCTCTACTCACCGGCTAAGATGTTTTCCACCCCCTCAGGTTGGATGTTGCTTTGAGCAGAGGAGAAATTCTGCAGGCACACAAGGAATGCACTGATGACATTCGCCAGAAGGCCCAGGACAGAGGGCTCGCTATAGAAGACAGCTGCAAAGCCTTCGGTGCTTGCCATGGTCTTGGACCTTTCCAGATGCAAAAAAACAGGCAGTGAGAGCACAAGTCAGGGTGGGGAGAGGATTTTGGCACTAAAGGACAATTTTGAGACTGGAGCAAATGCCTGTAAAGTGGTGATTAACGAAGCCAGCTGGGCAATGAGGAGAAGGTCGCTCCTTCTTAAATGAATGTGCCTTTCATGGGGTCAGTGGAGTTGTGGTGCTCAGGAGCCATTAAACAGAACTGAAAGTGAAATTTGGTGATCTATAATTAGAAGCTCCTGTGTTCCAAAGGTTAAATGGGTCCATTGCATGAGAAGCGTGAGTGAGCTCCACTCTAACTCCTAGTTGGCATTTTCAAACTTTCTCTCCTGTGCACTCCCCATGCATATGAATGTAATTTTTAAAATGCACTAAATTGTCTAGAATTTATTACACATTTAGAATAAGAGGCAGGTGGGGCTTCTTTTTCTATCCTCTGCTGCACACACTAGCCTCAGGTGGGGCCTGGAGATCTCCCGCTTTTACAACTGATCTCCAGGTGACAGAGATCAGCTCCCCTGGAGAAAATGGCTGCTTTGGAGGGTGGACTCTATGGCATTGTACTGTGCTGAGGCCCCTCCCCTCCCCAAACCCCACCCTGTCCTGGATCCATCCCCAAAGTCTCCAGGTATTTTCCAACCCTGACCTGGCAACCCTATCCTCTGCTGTTGTGTGCATAAAACCCTGTGGGCAAACATCTTCTCAGTTTCGCATTCCCAATCTGAGGCTAAAGAAAGTGGACACGATCCATTGGGAAATGAGTAGGAACTGTGTAAGACCACTAATTGTTCCCTTTCACTTTCAGTTCAGTTCACACAACAAAATGATGTGAGTTAGGAAGGAAGAGGGAGCAGAAAAAAGTTGCAGAAAAAATACGAAAGGTGTAAGGTCTCATCTGATGAAACCTTAAGTGAAACGGTCTATTGAGTGCTGTACCGTCAGAAAAACTTGAGACCAATTTACTTCAAAGGAAACACCTAATGATTTGTCACTCACTGGATGATTAAAGAAGATATATATTTTTCCTAACAAGGTTTCGTTATCTTATCACAGTTGTTTTTCCTTACTAAGTACCACCTGGAGGTTGGCAGCCCTAATTGTACTCCTTGTCATTGCAGAAAGGATTGATAAATCCAGCTCTCCAAAAGCAAAATCTACGGGTGTTTGCATTGCAAAATGCATTGCAAAATAAATGCTATCAAATTGTAACCAATTCATGGCGACCCCAGCAAGAGGCTTTCAAGGCATGTGAGAAGCAGAAGTGGATTGCCATTGCTTTCCTCTACAGAGTCTCCCTTGGTAGTCTCTCATCCAAGTATCAACTCTGCTTAGCTTCCAAGGTCTGACAACACTGGGTAATACCATGCCACCTTCCCTCCACTATGTTTCCAGAAGCACCATCTTAAAAGGACACAAGAAGAACCCTGTTGGATCCAATCAAGGCTCCATCTTTGTAGAGCCAGTAGATGGTCGGAGTTGTGGCTAAAGGGTTAGACCTGGGGGGGGGGGAGACTTGGGTTCAAATTCCTACTCTGGCCATGTAGTGTCATGGTCAGTCAATCAAACTAACCCACTTCACAGGGTTTTTGTGAAGGTCATCGAACTGAGTAAGGAAAACCATAAAAGCTGCCTTGAGCTCCTTGGAGAAAGGGCAGGATAAGAAATGTAATAATCTAGCAGTGGCCAGCCAGTTTTGGTGTTTTTTTTTTTTTAATCCTTCACAGGCTTAAACATCTGAACAAAACTAGATTGGGTCCAATTTCTTCTGAACCTTAGCTAGTATCTCTAAAATGGACCAAATAACATCAAAATGAGGAACAATCATAGATGCCAAAGAGTTAAGGGCATGGATTTGGGAGGCTAGAAGTTTACTCCCTGATTTTGTAGTATTTGACTCAGACCCAGTTGGCTCTTCCCAAAAGGTCCTTCATTGGTTCAGTCCTCTCTCTTTTTATCCCACTGGGATTTTCCAGCTCCACAACTCTGTTTTGAAACTCTGGATTGTAAGGACAGTACTTCAGAACCCTAAAGTTCCATTCGGGTTTTAGCATCACAATTTTGTGCACACAGTTGTTTCCCTCCAGACTTTTTGTCAAACCACAAAATACTAAAAATAACACCAGACAGTTGATGATTGTTCTTTTGAAGCTGACTGCTGGCCGTTAAGGGGACAACAGATTTTCAGCTGCATCCAAAGATGCCTTTTGGGAGGCAGCCTGGGTGTGGTGGACAGGGAAGAGATGACACAGAAGCCTGCAAAAGCTTATCTGGGCATGAAAAGAGATGTTGGCTAGGGAAACCTGGTCATGTTAGGCTATACATGAGTTCCAATTATTAAACTGAGCTGAGTGACTAGTAAATTTATGATCTGAACGGACTTTCAGGGTACCTGCAGACCTCTTGCTCTTACAAATCTAAGGAAGCAAGATTAAGCAGGTCTACTCTGAAGTAAGTCCCATTTCGTTCAGTGGCCCCTGCTCTCAGGATTGCAGACTAACCCCCAGGGGATATTCGGTTGGTCAGTATTTGGCATATGCTTGTAGACCTGAATCCCTTTGACGTGCTATGTATATAATAATACTATCAAACAAGGTCTTTATTGTATTGCATGGCCATGGAACCGCCAGGCTTCCCATAGATATTTTCCGTTAACTTATTTGTTTAGGTTATTTATATGCCACCTTTCCAGTCTGAAGAACTGCTTGCATTCTCCTGAATTAATAAGTACCTGGAGGTCACTCCATCTGGCCTCTGATTTAATCAGAAACCTTCATGCCCAACCCTACAGATTATATGCCATCAAGGCACATAATGTGCTACTAACACTCAACAAGTGTCACCTCTATTCCATGGGATGCTGGAAAAAAATTAATTAAAGGAATAAATTAGATGATTCAAACAGCACACTGTGAGGGATGGCTAGCAAAAGAAATACCCTATTTTATATCCTGGGAGTATTTGGAAGTCTTTATTGTTTGTTTAAACAGTATCACTAAGGATTTATGCGATAGGCAAGTTTTCAGTTTCCTCATGGCTGCTGAAATACTTATGATTAGGATCGTTATGAACCTTTTTTCTGTGAATAGTTTTCCATAAGTCTGCCAGCTTGGCAGTATTTCCAAAGGAAGACAGGTCCAAATAATACCCACTTGGCTCCATGAATCATAATATATTTTTTTCACCTGGTGGGATTTTTAAATGTATTCCTGGGATTCCATTTTTTTTTAAGCAGCTATTTATTTCCTTGTTTAGACTTGGGGCCTGGCTGATAAGCTAGCTGTTCCTCAGCACAGTGTGATATGTCCAGTTTGGCTCCTCTCTCCCTCTCCTTCTTTCTAACATGATTTCAAATACCCCAGACTGTCAGACAGCAGCAAGCTGTATGGAAACACAAAGAGATACTGAACAGTTTCTGGGTTCAGGATAAACCTGAGGTTCATCAGAACCTCTGATCAAGCCCTCCTGGACAACTGCCTTTTCCTGTCTCACCTAAATCTCTTGATAACATCTCTCCTTATTTTGCGGTATGGCTGAGGCTGTTAGTCACAGAACTAGATTTTACATATTTACATTTCCAGTTAATAATCTTTCCAGAGCATTCACATTTTAGCCATTCTTGTAGGTGAGTGAAATCCTGTCCAGAGTACAATGCAACATGTCTTGAAAAAGGTGGTGAAGTCAAAAGGTCTGTCATGATATGGACAAGCATTCATACGACCAGCCTAATAAATTCAATACTGATAGAACTTTAGGGCCAAATCTGTTGTGTGAACCAGGCTCAGATTTGGGGAAAGTCATTTTCTTGCACTTCTTTTTCATGTTGCTTATTTAGAGAATTTATACCCTTTTCCACCGAAACAGATATTAAGGCAATTTATGAGTAAAGATATAAAAACCAAAATTAAATAGCTACAATACGTAACACCCATCCCTTTAAAAAAGGCAATGATATTTTCAGATTTTTGCCTCTTTACCAAAGATTACACAACATTTCTCTGAAAGAACAGATGCTGGGTTGAATTAATACTTCATATAATATCTATTTCTATATTGATGGAAATACACACACACACTGTTCAGTGTCATAACCAGATAAGACAGTGTGCAATAAATGCCTTCTATTGAGCCAAAGATCAAGTTTTCTAAACACACAACTTGGTATATCACCATTATCAGTGCATAAGCACAACATAGATTTGATTCCTCTTCATTAGATATAAAGGGACGAACCACCAGGAGATAAAGATTCAAGGAATAACAGAGATAAAAGTCATGTCAGCAACAAAATATATCAACCTCAAGCAAGGGATAACAAGCACCACAGAATGCAGGCAGAGGAATGTCTCTTCTAAGAGAGTTATTACCTGATCTGCAAGATATTTTGAATGAGTGGCAGCTCTGTCTTCTCTGCCTGTCATTTCCTGGTACACAACAGCTTTTATAATCCAGAGAAAATGGGAGGAGCCCAAGATATGTTTGGGGTCGTGTCATTTCTGGACATCTCTAGTATTTGAATTGCTCTATGTTCCCTGAATTCTGCCCTCAGTATTGTTCTCACCCCTTCAATTAACTTCCCTGAAACAGGAAAAACCACCATCTGGGGCCCCTACCACAAAGTGGCTGATGTCATCACCTGAAACCCGTTTGCAAGAGAGATATAAACCCTGACATCCATGAGCCCTTCAGACATAGCTCCAACCTCTCTGGAACAAGGACATCCAAGAACTACAAACAGCCACCAGAATGGTCTATCTTACCCTGCAGGTAAAGGCTGCCTCTTGAGGTGAAAGCTGCTCCAAGTCTATTCTGTGACCAAAGTCTCTCTCTCTCTCTCTAAAAAAAAATAGGTCTACTTTCCAACCAAAATACAATATTTGATTATCTCATTGGCAAGTTTGCATTTGTATCCTTTGTGAGAAGATAAAGTCTGTCTTGTCAACTGCTTTTTGGAGAACTTCAGAATGTGTCTTGTTCTTTGATCTTGAATTCTTACATTACATATTTCTCTATGCTGCTGCTTCTGACCAACTTGGTTACCTTCCTTGACAGCCAGCCAGGAATCTTGAAAAGATTTCCCCCCCAACCAAGCTTTTCTTCCTTACTCTACTTACTCATACAGACTGTTTGCTTTTTCTCCGCTTCTTGATCTAGGAGTCTTTTAACAGCTATGAACTAAGAGAGCAACAGAGGACATGTTTATCCAAACCCATCCATTCAATTGCAGTGACCAATTCCATCTCTTTATGTTCCAGAAATCTCAGAAGGTTTTTGCTACATCCAGGCATGTGCACAAAGTGGCTGCTAAAGGTTTGTCTCTCTTTTGTAAAGACATTTACATATTTCCAAACAAATCTATTACTTGTTGCATTCTTTCTTCTTAGACAGCTTTAACTGCTGTAGAAATATATCTCTCTCTCTCTCTCTCTTGGAGGGGGTGTAGGCATGCAGACTTGTCCTCAGGATCCTCTCTCAGCTTGGGAAAGAGCTCTGTGAGTTTGTCCCACCATTCAGCAATACGAGGAAATGAAACCTTGTTTAAGCTATGAGTCCAATTCTGTACTTATTCACATTGGTCCACAGCTTCAGTCTGAAGCCACTTACTATGAAGTGAGTCCCACTGAACTTGGTGAGACTTCTAGGAAATCAGGTTTAGGATTGTGCTGAAAATTTGCAGAGATTCAGATTAGAACAGTGGGACAGGATGTGTGTTTGTGTACTAGCAGATCTGTGGTCTGTAGGTACAGGATAAGGTTCCCTATCAGAAACTAATGCGGTCTGACCCTCCTACCCGGTCACCTACTCCCTGGGAGTCAAAGCAAGCAGCTCTGAGCTCCTTGATGAAAGAAGGGGAACAGACTCTAAAGCAAGATAATGTAAGAAAACCATGTTTGCCATCTTGTCTTTTTTCAGATGTGTTTTATATGGCAGTTCTCTTAAAAAGAGCAATAGAGAGAGCACTATGAAATCCAAAGCATTATTATTTTTGTCCCACACATTCCTGTGTACGCAACAAATGACTAAGTGTCCGTTTCCTCCCAAAAACAGACTTTGAGAAATGGATGGAGTGTGGCAATTGGTACTAGATATCTAACATATTTTCTTCAATGCTCACATTAGTATGATGTGAGTCAGAGCTAGCGGTGTAGTGGTTACAGCATCTGACTTAGGACTGAGGGGATCTATCTCCAAATACCTACTTGGCCGTGAATCTCCTTGGGTGACCCAACCAGCCTCCAAGGTTGTTCTAAGGATAAAATAGAGGCGAGGAGAATCCTTAAATGAAGGATGGGGGGGGGGAAACCATAACAGATAGATGTGACTGAATGCAAGTGTGGTATAGTGGCTGAAGGGCCAAACTAGGAGGTGGGAGACCCAGGTATGAATCTCCACTCTACCATGAAAGCTTGCTGGGTTGGGACCTTGAGCCAGTCACACATTCTTAGCTTATCCTATCTCACAGGGTAATTGTGAAGAGAAAACTGAGAAGAGGGGAACAATGTAAGTTGCTTTGGGGTCCTCTCAGGGGAGAAAGGTGGGGTATAAATGAAGTCAGTAAATAATGTATGAAGCCGCCTCATACTGACTTGGACCGTTGGCCCATGTAGCTCAGTCTTGAGTCCAAATGGGCTTCCCAAACTCTTGTTTAAATTGGAGATGTTGGGGATTGAACCAGATACCTTCAGCAAGTGCTCAGCCATTGATTTATGACCCCTTCCCAAACATCTATGAACACATGAAGCTGTCATGTTGAGTTAAACCATTGGTCCTTCTTGTGCAATACTTTCTACTCTGAGGAATGGCAACTACCCAAGACTTCAGGCAGAGAAGTGTCTTCCTCAGCCCTCCTACCTAAGAGCCAATAACTGAAAATAGGCCTTCTGTGTGCAATGCTGGTCCTGAGCTAGGGTTGCCAACCTCCAGCTGACACCTGAAGATCTCCTGCTATTACAATTGATCTCCAGACAACCAAGATCAGTTCCCCTGGAGAAAATGGCTGTTTTGGAGGGTGGACTGTATGGCATTATACCCTGTAGAGGTCTTTCCCCTCTCTGGCTCCATCCCCAAAATCTCAAGGTATTTCCCAGTCCAGAGCTGGCAGCCCTATCCTGAGCTATGGACTACCCCTGGAAATGGGAGGGAATAAGTGACAGGTAAACTCTTCCTCAGTTCCACCACAGTGGTTGCAAAGAGCATCCTTGTTCCAGCCTTGCCTCCTTCAGGTGACTTTCAGAGACTAAATGGTTGGTCACACTGTCCCTTTTTTCTCATGAGTTGGGTGAGGCTGGTGAAAAACACAACTGTTTTCCCTGTTGAACTTTTAGCTGCTCCATCTTAGCAGTTCTAACGTCTGTGATGTGTCACTGGACTGAAACGTGACAGGCTTGTGTGGTGCCACTTGAGGTGCCAGGCAGACCACTAAGCACTGACCCATCAAACACCTTCCCACTGGTCATCTTTTTTGTCATCTTGACAGTCCTGGAAAAGAGCACCTCAGAGGAAACCGTCACCGGCAGCTTTGCATCCTTCATCTGTAATGTCTGCCCTGATCACCTCTCGGATGTGGTTCGTCATCGAAGCAAACGGATGATCCTTGACAGCATTGGCGTGGGGCTGGTGGGCAGCACGACCCATGTATTTGATATTGCCCTGCAGTATTGTCAGGTATGAATAGCACTGGCCAGTGTGACTCGCTGGGGTGGTACAGTCAAGGATCTTTGCAGAGACTATGAATTACCAGGTCAAGGACTGCCCTGAATAAGAAAGGAATCCTGTCGTCTCTGTGCCTCTGGACTATTTAAATTCAACTGTCATCAGGCACTTTTTTCAACTTTCTTCCAGGCTGCAATGTTTGCAATTGCCACTCATCTTAGACCAGCAATAGACAAGTTTGCACATTACGTAAAAGCTCAAATCTAGGGAGGGTCAAGATTACTTGGGTATTGACAAGAACAATACCAAGCCAAAACCATTGTATTGGATGAAACAGGATGTCTGGGAATAAAGTGGTTTGCAACATACAGAGTTGTGGGGTTTTCCTGAGCTGCTTGGTTTGAAACTGGCTTAGAAAAATATGCTCCAGGAAGAGCGCAGATATAGATGAATACAGAGCATCCATCCCCACTTGGAATGTCTCGTAGATCTATTGGGAAGTGACAGGAGGGCTCTGATATTTGAGCTGAACAGCACAACACAAAAAGGGGTGCCAGGAGAATGAAAAAAATGCTGGCCAGTGAAGGCAGGTGAGCAATGTCCACCTAAACCTATGCTACTTCTATAAACAGGATGGAATGTCTTCAGTAAATCCTCAGTACCAGCTTCCTTTCCGCTCTAGAGATCTCTAGTCCTGTGTGTGTGTTGATAAGTGGGGCTGAACTTGGCAGGAGCCCTCAGTGCCCTTGCATTTCTCACTGTGACTTCTCCACTTCTGTTGACAGGAAATGTATTCCTCCTCCTCCTCCAGCCTTGTTAGTTCTGTCTATGGAAGGCAGGAACTGAAGCTGTCTCCTCCTCTGGCAGCATTTGTTAATGGTGTGGCGGTAAGGATTTCCCTCTGTTTTGCAGTCCTTGCAGCACTGTGCTTAAGAGTGTGGATTGTTTGGAGTGAGGAAGCAGGTGGGAAACGCCCCTGGAGATGGGTGTTTTATTTGCACTAACTGCTGAGGGGATAACATTTCTCCCATTTGAGTCCAAAATGAATTTAGAGTCAAGATTCTAGCCTTTGACAGAAACAAATTGATTCTTATTCAGGGGTCATTTTGTAGAAAAAGAGGTGCAGGAGCTCATTAGCATAACTCGTTAGCATAACTTATTTGCATATGCTACACCCCCTGACATCACTGGAAGTGTGTCAGAAGGCAACACCCACCGCTCAGGCTCCACTGGACTGTTTTGGATTGCTAGCTATTGGGGGGGGGGGAATGTGCAGATCTGTCCTCACAGAGGAGGGAGAGCTTGTACCTGAATAAAACTTGGACCTAAAGGTGCCACTGGACTGTTTTGGACCGGGGGACTGGGGGGAGCTCTGCAACTTACCTGGCTGCTTCTTGCTCTTACTGAGGGCTGCTGGGAGCAGGGGGTGGGGCTTGTTGCATGTGCCTGCCCCCTGGGCTCTTTACTGCCAGAGCTCCGCTCCTCTAGGAAATGACCCCTGCTTATTACCATGAGGGCCAGGAACTTGTAATTTTCACAAAATCAGGATTCTGGCAGCGTCCTCATCAAGGGATATTCCTTTGTAGTAATGCTTAGAGTGTCAGAACAGGATCTGGGAGACCCAGGTTTGAATCCTTACTCTGCCATGGAAGCTTGCTGGGTGACCTTGGCCAGTCACACACACTCAGCCTAACCTACCTCATAGGGTTGTTGTGAGGATTATATGGAGAAAGCGAGAATATCATAAACTACCTTGGGCTCCCTTCCCAATCATATCCCACAAATTAAAGTGAGGTTGCTGGCAATCACTTCTAAGTCCACTGACTCTCCTTCTCTTCAGGTTCACTCGATGGACTTTGATGACACCTGGCATCCAGCCACTCATCCTTCGGGAGCCATCCTGCCTGCTCTCCTGGCAGCCTCCCAGACAGTACCTGCTGCTTCTAGACCTAATGGCCTAGACTTCCTGTTGGCATTTAATGTGGGCCTTGAGGTGCAGGGGAGGCTGATGCGCTTCTCCAGTGAAGCTCACAACATTCCCAAGAGGTAAATGTTCTTTGGAACCTGCTGAGTGGACAAAGCTTTTGCCCTGTGGAAACCAGACAGTAAGAGCATGGCTGCCTTACATTGGTGGCTTCAGTGCTCCATGGAGGGCTTTGTCACCTGTCAGATGGGCACCTGGTGTGGGAAGGTAATAGATATGAAGGAAGAAAAGTCAGTAAACCCAGCCTATTATTGTGCACATTAAGAGAAGAGCAGCAGCCTGCTGTAAACTTCTGTGTAACTCAAAAGCTTGCCTATTTCTCAATCAACAGCTGGCTCAGTAAAAGATACTGCTTGCTCTGTTGCTGCCCCTTCTGAAATGGAACATCGTCTTACCACTTTGGGGTGGGTTGATGTGAAATAAATACTGCTTATTTGCATTTGTCAACATATTCAAGATTGCTCCCTGCCAATCAAGGAGGCTGGGATTAACTCTCTGCTTGCAATCGAGACAGGGGCAGTCCCTCTGAGCCGCTTGACATATACATAGACTTGCATCTTACCACATCCAGGGAGTACTCAGGATGCCTCCTGCCATTCACAAAATAGGTAAAGATCTCTTCCTAACTCCCTCTGGGGTTTCCTTTCTAGGTTCCACCCTCCTTCTGTGGTCGGCACCTTGGGCAGCGCTGCTGCTACAGCCAAGCTCCTCTCTCTGAACACAACCCAATGTGGCCATGCCTTAGCAATCGCAGCCTCGCTGGCAGGGGCACCCATGGCAAATGCTGCAACCTTGGCCAAACCACTGCACATTGGCAATGCCACCCGCCTTGGGCTAGAGGCGACACTCTTAGCTGCTCACGGGATGGAAGCCAACCTTTTAATTCTGGATGACGTCCCCGGCTGTGCTGGCTTCAGTGCTTTCTATGGTGACTACCAGCCCAGACCGCTCACACTACCAGCAAACAGCCATGCGTTTCTCCTGGAGAAGCAGGATGTTGCATTCAAGAGCTTCCCAGCCCATCTGGGAATGCACTGGGTGGTGGAGGCTGCCCTCTCAGCCAGGAACCTTCTAGTCAACCATTCTGGCTCTCACTCCCCTTCTGCCATCCACACCATTGTTCTGAGGGTGCCGGAATCCAAGTACATCAACAGGCCCTTCCCTGAATCTGAACATGAGGCCAGGCACTCTTTCCAGTTCAATGCCTGCCCAGCCCTCCTGGATGGCAAACTGAGCATTTGCTCCTTCAGCGATGACAATCTCCACCGGCACGAGCTCATGCAGTTGCTCTCCAAGGTGATGGTGGAACATCCCAAGGACAACGTGGCCAACTTTGACAAGATGTATGCAGAGGTGGCACTGGTCCTGCAGAATGGAGACATCCTGACAGGCCGGTGTGACACTTTCTATGGGCACTGGAGGAGACCCCTGAGCAGAGAATCTCTCCTCAGGAAATTTCAAACCAACGCTTCTCGAGTCCTTCCAAAAGACAACATAGATAACCTTGTGAAAACAGTAGACAACCTGGAGACTCTCCCAGACTGTTCTTTGTTGGTTTCCTGTCTCTGAAACTGATTAGAAAAATTCTAAACTACCATGACAACAAAAATGAAAATTGTGTAGGACATCCTGCCAAATTCAAAACCAGCATGTACAATTTGTACATAATCTGGAAGATGCCAAAAAATCCCTTATGAATTTAGGCAATGCCCCTGTAGTCAGGGTGCTATTGAATCTGTTTCCCATGTTCTTTTAAATTGTCCATTTTATACTAAGATACAAGAAAAATTTCTGGACACCTTCCTTTTTACATGGCATGGTCTTCCTGAGAGTGTGAAGGTCCACCGTCCAGTTGCTACTCTCTGGGCAAAATGCTTCAATAACTGTTAATGTTGCTTGTTTTCTTCAATCTGTAATTCGAATCAGGGAAACGATTAATTGATCAGTTCTTTTTTGTTGGCTGTCTGACAGCCCTACTTTTGATGTATTCCTTAATTTTAATGTATTCTTATCTCTGACATGCCAATAAAGGTTGTCTGTCTGTCTGACTGTCACTTAGAATAACTGATTAATGTGATCATTTGTGATTTATTCCACTGGACTCTTTGTTTTATTCTGCTTTTAAATTATTATATTCTGCAAGTCAGACAGGAAACATATCAATATGTATCACTGAGAGAGTCTAAGAGCTGCAATAAAATTTGAAAAAAACCCAAAACACTGAGATCTTGGTTTCTGAATTTTACTAATTTCTATTCTTGGTGAATGTTCAGTTTTGGATGTGGATCTGGTGAGTTCGTGCTACAATTTTGACTACAAGACTATTTTGTTGAGAAAACTGAATATCAAATGTCTTTGCTTGTAAATATTTTTAGAACCTTCACTTATATAATACATGGATCCTTTATCTCTTTTGAAAAAAATGGGTAATAAATTAATGACTTGGAAGTGATTTTCTAGGTATCCCAATTCTAGCTAGTGTAGAAATATATTGAGGAGGAAGAATTCTCATGCAAAATCTGAATTTATAACATTTTAATGTATGCAAATTATGTTTCAAAAAAGGAAATCTGTACGTTGTTTAAATATTTAATTAATAGTTGACCAAAGAGACATTATTAATCTTGCATCTAGATCAATATGGGTAGCTATCTTAGTCTGTAGCAGTAGAAAAGAGCAAGAGTCCTTAAAGACTAAAAAAAAAATGTGACAGGGTATGAGCTTTCGTGAGTCACTCCATCTGAAGCAACTCCATCTTGCTCTTTTCTACTCTTGCATATGAATTGGCAATATGGCTCAAACAGGAGAGCCAAAAGTACATAGAAAGCATCCATCCATGTTCAAGGAGATCACACAGAAACAAAAATAACTGACTAATTGGAGACTAGCTGCCGTCATTATTTTCATATAGGCAATAACCCACTTTGGAAACAATTCTTCTGTTCTGGCAGTTATGAAACTTGTAATGTTATTTGCATTAAAACAATGTCCTCACAACCAAGTTGATCTTTTGCCTCTTAGCACAGGTGTTGGCTGGGTCTGACCTGATGCCTGAATTTACTCTGGGGAAATTCTTCAAATGTATTGAGGTTGGTCCTGATTGTTACAAGCAGCGGCGCTCCAGCAGTAAGGAGCCCAGGCCCTGCCTTTCCTGGCCGCTGGCAGAGAGATTTTTTGGGGGGGGATTTAAATCCCTGGGTTCCCTGCCTGACCTTCTCCATGTCTGCTTCCCTGCCGTCCCCCTCTCCAGCCAGCCTCTTTCCCCCTGAGCCTCTCCACTTTTGTCGAGAGGGAGGGGGGAATTTAAACTCATTTGCATATGCCTTAACTCATTTTAAACATGCCTGCCCTTTGTCAGGGGGTGTGGCATATGCAAATGAGTTATGCAAATGAGCTCCTCCACCTCTTTTTCTAGGAAATGACACCTGGTTACAAGATTAATTTATTTGTATGATTTTAAGCAAATGCCTGTCATTGGGGTCTACCTTCCATGAAAAAGTCTGATATTTTGGGGTCAGGCAATGAGTCTTCTGACTCCTCCAATCTTTCAGGTCATGCTGAGGGATCCCAATGTCAGGTCCCCAGATTCAAGTCCCTAATTCAGACTTCTGCATCCTCCTCTGTCTTCAGATTTGGGTTGATCTCAAGCCTTATTGCGGCCATATGAGCTGCAGTTAAATCCAAACACCACCTGTCCCAGCTGGCTTTTGCACAACCATTACATTTGGGGAATCAAAGATTATCTTATTACATGGTAGCCTCATAGACGTTGTTTACAGGACTGGCACTCAGATGCTCCATCTATTTACCCATAGCTTGGAGCAACCCATTGAATAAACCCACCAGACCATTTGAAGATTCACTGTCATTCATTAATGTTTCAGGGACCAAGATTATCTCAGGAGGAAGAATGCATGGTCTGGGAAACTACTGTGGGGGATGCCTAGACCTCTTTGACACATGATCCTTGTTAGAATAACTGGCATTCAGCAAACAGCTCTTTGCCTAGCAATAGGGGGAAATGAGGACAAGATCTGGGGCATTTGCTTTTCATCCTTTTCTCAGAGGTTTCACTCAGTTGTGGGAAACAGTATCAGCTACATTCATCAAAAGCCAAGGTCTTATTTCTTTCCTGGTCACACTTGCACAAGTTATTCCATTGACCAATAGTAACCATGTCAAATTATACCAATATGACCCAGCCAGACTGTCCTGCTTCTAGAATGTCCTGGAGGCTACTTCCCATGATTCAAAACTCACATGTAAAAGACCTCTTTCATGTAAGAATAAGCACACAGCCTGTTTGTGGATTGTCAAGTGATAATTGGACACATATGTTCTGTACATAGATTGCATGCATGCCAGTTGCCTTTCATGAAGGGCTTTTGCAACTAATTTCATCAAAATTGCATTGAAACAAAAGGGAAAGCTGAAGGCTGGCCTTTGTCTCAGAGCTGGGTGGTTGAGGAGAGGCATCAAGGAACTGTCCATGGACCCTTCCTCTGCTGTGGCAAAGTGTTAAGCATCCCTGACAAATATGCAAGTTCTTCTGGGATCACTTTGTTCATTGTAGGAAATACCTGGTTTTTGAGGTCCTAATCAATACTCCAAATAACAATTTTGCAGCTGTAAACTACTCAGATAGGGAATGGTGGATGATTGACCCTCTTGCCCAGCTCCTCCCCCTCTCTTTACTCCTCCTGCTGTGCCAGAAAGAAAACACTCCTGGGTTCAGACTGAGTCCACAGAGGCATGCCCTCCCTCCTTGGGAGGAAGCCCCATTTGCAGAGTTCTATCTGCTGTCAGAGGGCACCTTTAGGTTGTACATTTAGACTGCCGCAAAGCAAGCATGTAAAAGAAACGTTCCTTGGAAATTATGTCCCGGGGCATGGTGGCTGTGGGCCCAGAAGCCTGTGGTACCTTTTGCCCTTGGAGCTGCAGGGGAAATCATACTGTTTTGCGTTAAGGAAAAGCAACTGTTGATACTAAAGCAAAGGGTCTGCTTTCCAAGGGAAATGAAGGCTTGAGACGGCCAGGTAAATAAAACCCCACCGTCTGGTTGACAGTGATGCCAAAAGGAGTTGGGGCTTGACAAGCAACCCACCAAAGCCCCTTGTTCACCGTCATAAACAACCCCAAGAAAGGAGTCCTTGTTCCAAAGGGCTTCACGGTGGAAGAGGCACAAAGACTTCCCTTGCAGATGTTTCCTTGCAAATAACTTTCTAGCAGGAAGTCAGGAGTAGGCTTGTCAAATGTGGCCTGCCACCTTCATTCTGGCATGGCTCCTAACCCTTTGGAACAGCTGCATGGAAAAATCCAACATGGGGAACTCTCTGTGACATGGCCGTCTCAGGCAGACATGTAGGCCTTCAAGCAACTGAGAGAAGCAAAAGTGAATTTGCTTTGGCCCACCATTTCTTTACTTCTGGCTGAACAGTACAATTTGGACAAGATGTGAAAGAGGCCTTCTGGGTAGCAAAGACCTTTTGGCTTGGAAACAAATTCTTTGATTTTAAAGAAATAGTTAGGATAACAGGGAGTTACCAACAAGTTACAAGTAGGTCTTGAGACCATATGTTCTTGCCTGTTTTAGGTGGAATTTCTCAGTGCATAAAACAAACAATCCACATGGATCTTCATAGTACCATTTAACTTCTCTCAACATAACAGCTTCACTTTTCAGCTGATTACTTCCATCCAAAGATGGCACCACTAGAAGGCATCAATTAGACTACTGCCTCCAGCAGTGGATTTGGAGGAGGGGGGCATAGCAAGCGGTAGAGTGGAAGGACAAATATGACCCACAGCACTGAGTGTAATGGGAGGCTGTATGGGAAACCCATTTAAACAAAAGCCTTGTAGTGCCCATAATGATGTCAGTAAGAACTTTGATTTTGATACAAATGGCGATAAGTGTGATCCAGTTTCCTGGAAATACCCTTTAATCAGACAGACCTGTATGGAGCTAAGTTCAGATCCCTGCAATGTGAAAGGGGGGGGGGAGAATGTTGAATTGCCTGGAAAGGAAGGTGGGGTTTCTTTTGCTGTCAAGTCATAGCTGACTTATAGTGACCTCATAGGTTTTCAAGGCAAGTGATGTTCACAGGTGGTTTTCCATTGCCTGCCTCTGCATAATGACCTGGTATTCCTTGGTAGTCTCCCATCCAAATACTAACCAGAGTTGACACTGCTTAGCTTCTGAGATCAGGTGGGACTGGGCTAGCCTGGGCTATCCAGGGCAGCGAAGGAAAGGAACTAGTGGGTGGGAAACATAGGTCATCTCTTGGGTTTTTTTGTCCCCCTGCATGATAGTACCACAAAGGAAGGAGTTAATCATACACAAACTCAAAAGAGAAAACACTTGGTCGATGGTGCTAAAAGGAAAATAAGGCAGACTTGTAACTGGTACCTGCACAAGGAAACTGGTTAAAGCCAGCATTTCAGACCAGGAAAAGAAAACCAGCTCTTCTTCCTGGAACTCCCTTCTTTCCAAATAACACTGAGATGAGCAGGCAGTATCAGAGCAGCCACCTCTCCCCTCCACAAATCCAGCATGGATCAATGAAGAT